GCACGTGGGTGGCGACGGCCCGGCGCGAGATCCGGCCGCCCGGACATGGGGTGTAACAGGCCGGAATGGCAGCCAGCCGCAGGGCTATCGCAAAGCTATCAGGGCCATCGTGTCTACGACCGGTTGTTATGACGGGCAGGTATTTGCCGGGGTGGGAACATGTTTGACATGGAGGAGGTGATCATTTCGCACAGACCGGATGAGCCGGGCTAGCTCCGGTCGGCCTTGCTGTCTAAAAAATGTGGATGCTTGCCACGCAAAGCATTCTTAATCAGAAGGCTCCGAATCTATTTTGGTGGGAGCTCTCAGAGGACGGTGGTCGTTGAGTCGAATAGAATATTCATCGTTACGAGACGGAATATGGGAACAGAAAACGTGTCCCGTCGTCAGCGGCGAGACCTATGGAAAAGCATGATGCCTTCAGCAAAGGATTGCTGTAAGGAGGCTCGACAGTAAGGCAGATTGGATATCTTATGTTCGTGTCGTAGTAATTAGGCCGAGGAACAGAGTCATTATGTTTCACTCTGCGACTTTCCAGGACGAATTAGCAACGCAGAACAAGGAAAGGATGCTCCTGCGGTCACTTTAGGTCTGCGAAATCAGACGTTTACCAAAAGTGATCGCAGGAGCATTCTTTTCTTGTTCTGCGTTTGCTAATTCGTCCTGGAAAGCCGCAGAGTGAAACATAATGACTCTGGCCTCATTACTGAGCATATATTTGAGCAAAAGATATCTAATCTGCCTTATTAGGTCTGCGAAATCGGACACTTACCAATAATCATGCCTAAAGCGCCATTCCAACATCACATGCAAATAACATCGAATCGGCGCACCGAGTAGCAAGCAAATATTGCACACTATCTCTCTGTTCAAGCCACGCCACCAATTCACTTATTTCTCTATATTGTTACCTCCTCGCAGAAAAATAAATAACACGGGCTGTTTGATATTCCTTATAATTACTCCACTTATGCTTAAAACAATATATCTGAGCTTTAATTATTTGAAGCAGACGCGCATAAAACGTTTTCACGAACATAAAATATTATTCGGCCGGCTCCGTTCGTGATCATAAATTCTGCACAATGAACCCCGACATCAGGCAGACCATATATGCACTATTATTTGGAAGTGCTTACCATGCTCATTGACAATTTCAGGACTACATGGTAACAGGCCTGACAACACCAATCCGCCCAAAAAGAAGATTACAGCTCGTTGCCACCAAAAGCCGGAATTTGTATGGCGCGGAAACTGACGCCAGTAAAACAGCATGTCTGGGTAACATGCCAAGCAACTCGTTTTTGAGCTGACAGACGTGCGGGTCGGGTGACTCGTCCGTTTATGACTTCACCAATGATACCGGCCGCTTTTAGGCTGAAATTATTGTTGGGCCGGAATGCTATAAACCGAACGGGAATTTCGACAAAACAATCAAGATATGGTGCAAAGTCTGGATGAGTGATGCGAGTGTTATCGTAAGTAGACCCTGCCACTGGTGTGATGATGTGAGCCAATTTTTTCGCCTTTGTGAAACTCCGCGACATGGTGCTAACCGTTTATAGAGCGAAGAAATGAAAGTGTTAGAATCTTCTTAGTTAAAAAACGTCCCACAAAATAATATGACGGTGAACGTAGTGAGCCTCGGTTGCACCATCGCACGCCATGCGTTCGGTTAAGCGATCCCTTTATTTCTGTTCACCAGTGATCACTCGTCTCATTTCCGAAGAGCTGTTAAAGCGCGCGTGTGGGCCGAAACACATGTAATAACGTGGCACAATGCTTGTTAACGTCGCCAGCCCATAACGACCACGTCTCGTCTAAATGCGTCCTGGCTTTATTGCATCGCCTCCAAGAGTGGTTATTTAAGTCCACACCTTGGTGTGAGGAATGTCGAACATCCTCATTTCCCGGCTGGTCATGTCACCTACCCGGGCCAGTCATGTTTTCTGGCTAGGCCGATGCACCTCCTGACAAATTGGTTTTACTGACGATGGCTTCTTTTGGTTTTGTGTTTAATTTGCTGGAGGGCTGTTATGCTTTAGTTGACAAACAAAGTACTTACCAGCTTCGGGTTAGCAAGGCGACAAGATCTCAGGGCATACGGCTTATGTTTGTCACGTGACTTAGCTCATCAGGTTTTGGTTGGTCTTTTTCAGTGTGGTGGCCTAACTAAATCGCACGTGAGGCAGCTGACTGACCAGATTGCTCACAGATACCACACTGGCGTGTGGCGTATCCATGAGACTACTCCATGGTAGACGTTCAGATCCCCGATCAGTACAACAGTGGAAAAATGATATAAGTATCTATGGGGAAATGAGCGGGGATGGGGATTGGGTCTTTAATTTTACAAGACGTCAGATGAAATGCTTGAAGTAAGCTTTGTCCGGCCTGCAAGTCGAGTTTCGCAGCAGGGATATCCGATATGTCGCGCTGTGGGCTGCGCTGGGTGTAACAATACAGCGGCACAATATCCGAAGTCACAGCAGGGAACTTCCCATGTGTCGCGCTGTGTGCTGCGCTGGGTGTAACAATACTGCGGCACAATATCCAAAGTCGCAGCAGGGATATCCCATGTGTCGCGTTGTGTGCTGCGCTGGGTGTAACAATACTGCGGCACAATATCCAAAGTCGCCGCCGCAATATCCCATGTGTCGCGCTGTGTGTCGCGCTGGGTGTAACAATACTGCGGTACAATATCCAAAGCGCGGCATTTTGCCGCACCGGGTCGAGAACCCATTTTTAATCAGGGTAAATATGTGGTTGTTAACGTTTGTTTGACGTGAAATGACGTGTGTGAAGATCAATATTTTTGTCTGTAACCCACAAGTTTGAAATCGCATCCTATGTGAAGTTCTTTAAATTGATAGTATTTACGCAAACCTTCCCTAAGAAGATTTCATCAGCATCGAACCGCACCGTTACAACATTGGCTCGTGCTATTATTCGATGCCAACAGATATGAGAGTTTTTGAAACCTCTTGACAAAAGTATGCAAGACTTACTCTTGTGTGGTAGCCAAGGGGCCGTACATTTGCTAGAGCGTCATTTAAAGCCTCCACATAATATCGCCAAAACCAATCAACCGATCGGGGTGATTCAAAAACGCAGCAAAAGTCCGAGTCATACGACTCCTTCGTACGTCAGCTTGTTGGAATGCATCCCACTGATGACGTCACATGTCGCTTCCGAGGTAAATTTGTTTCCGGAAATTGCACAGTCGCCTAGTTGTTTCAATTGCCGTGATGTGGCGATATCGCGCCGTGACGGAATGAATGATCGCCAGATGCTGAATGTGCTTCGCGTGCGGCCAACGTAAGTAAACTACTATCTCATATAAAGAACCCCACCACTCCCCGTCCCCAAAATTATTGGTCGGGCGATGGCGGTAAAGTGGTTAGGACGCTTGGCTCCGGGCCTGTCGGTCCTGGGTTCGAATCCCTTACTTACGCTGGTCAACTATGGGCGGATTAGAGAAAACCACTGCTCAGGTCACGTTCGTTCTGAAAGTTCTGCGATTTCTCCTAAAACCACACCTGTCGTCGCCCCTAGATGATGCAGGGAGCGCAATTTCTCGCAAGTTGTGTGGAGCTGGTGTACAGAGAAACCACTAATCCTATTACCTGTGACGGTTTGTAATACAGCCGCAAAATCGCATGAAGTCAATGTGGCCTCAAAGCGAGATGATGGGGTTAAAGGGGTTGGTCCCCTCAAATAGCGTGTTTGCGGTGTGCCGTCCTGGCTAGCATAAAGCCTCACTTCTTGGCAGGAGTTTTTGTCTAACACTGCAATGATTCTGAAAAGTTTTGGTCAAGCGTGGGTACCATGGGATGCGAGCACGTAATAGTGATGTTTTATTCTTGCGATTCTTCCACAGCAGCAATACCGCGAAAGATAAGCACATAAGTATAAATATTTAATTCTTCGGAAATTGTTGGGTTAGATAACCGTTTGTTTAGTTTCAATTATCTGCTTCTTCTACAATACGTAAAACTGGACCGATTTGTGTTCCGCCCAATTCCTATCAAATTGAAGTTGTGAATACAAAATACTGTGATTAAAGTCTTGAGGTTCATAACCATTCTTAAAATCAGTCATCACCTATAACCATATATAGGTCGAAAGCTCGCCCGACGGAGGTTTGTGGTTTAAGTGCGGGACATGTGACTGGACCGGCTCCTTAGAGGTTCCCGTTGTTGAGACCGAGCCTATGCAGAAAAGCAAGCAGCGGGTGCTCATTTGTGTGCAAAGAAATGAACTTGTGTTGGCGACAAACCGTTGTTAATAAACCACATTAAAGGCTTTTTTTCTATCAGATGGACCGCGTTTTCAGTGTAATGCGTACAGTAGATAAAAAATGTATACCGGCCAATACAAGCAGTAAAAAAAAACGCAATGCCCACATGCAATATGCCAGGGTTCCTCTTATAGACCACGGATACATTGCCAAACATTCTGTCGTCGCGCTGGATTCGTGGCCTTCACGTCATGTCTTCCCGTGGAAGCCATTGGCTCTTCAGCACGCGCGTTCTTCCCTGCCTTTGATGATGGCAGACAGCACATTGCGTGTTTTGGCCGGCGTCCTCCAGTAGTGCAGCAGGTGTACGCAAACGACTGTATACATTGGCATACAGTTGAATTGTCACGCAATTAATTTCGTGTTTTCTTTGACATTTGCGATGTACTGTCCTTGTAGTGCCGCTGCCAGTGTTACTCTGGGATGAACGTCTAATGGGTTCATGTCACCGAGGTGCTTTCTTCCTCGTCACCACACGCCAAAAAATATACGGGGAGAAACAAGGCCATCTACCGTCCTTTAAATATGGACGTAATAATGCGTGTATACGCTCGAAGTAACGCGCAATTCTCAAACTTCATATGTATATTTCCACCCACATAAAACGGGCGCAGGTCATTAAATCCTTCTTAACTACACGTATGTTCTAGGGACACATGAATTCAGAATGATATCGACAATCTGACACTCACAATCTTACACTCGTAAACAAAGGGTATTTTTAAATATTCACTCGCCTTCAGTAGTATTTTTTATCCACGAATTGACGCTCATAAATACATACGCACACAGGTCACAACTTTGGCGTAGGTACAAGGTCATGGTTTCCTATAAATACATTTGGCATATAAACACACACAACGGATGTGACGATGTATCAGCACCATGACTTCATTCACCAATGAATGGGTGACTTCTCATGTAAATGAAGTTATACGCGCAGATCCAGTCTTAGCCTACACCGTCAGCAAATTCTGGCAGGATTTCGACTCTTTCTGGCCGATGACCTTGTGAAAGATTTCCTTGACGATGGTGGACGGCAGCGTACGCGACTTGATGCGCTTGTCTCTCCTCTGCTGACGACGTTCGCTCTTCGCGAGCTCAACGGCGTTGTTGGGGTCTTCGAACTGGTGGTAAAACCGAATCTGAGCGACGATGCCCGCTAGGAGTTCGTCGATATTGGAGTTGATGACCACCGATGTCTCGATGTACTTGAAGCCAAACTGGACAGCCAGTGACCTGCCTTCTGTAAAGGCGGAAAAGCTCCATTAATTGCCAATCAACTACAGATCTCGTCATGCCGATAACTGGTGCTCCCAGCAGCATACCACTGAATGAACATTCAACAGGTAACCACAAATGATGCGTGCGCCACATACACCAATAATATATATATATATATATATATATATATATATATATGTATGTACATACCTTTACCAACTGAGCATTGACGTTGCAAACGCTCTCATTTTCTTAACTCACACACTAGCTCCCGAGTACGCACGAGCGCAAAAGACTGCATCACACCAGCACATACCGCACAGACGCCTTCTACCCCGCCCCTACCCAACAACACGTACCTTTGGCGCTGACCTTCCGCAGCCTGACCAGGTCGCTCTTGTTGGCCACCAGGATGACGGGCCGGCGCGCGTTGAAGCCGCGGATGAGGTTGCAGAGGCCGCGGGCGGCGCTGAACGACGCTGGATCCGTCACGCTGTACACCACGATCAGCGCGTCGTGCGTCCGCACCGTCGCCTCGTCCGGCATCTGCGCGGACGGCACGTGCGGGTCAGTCACGGGCCAGCCTCGTGTCGGGCACGGAGCGAGCACGCGCCGGGCGAGCGCCGCCAAGTGCGCGGCGTCGAGGGCGACGGGGTGGAGGGCACATGTGCGGCGTCGAGGGCGACGGGGTGGAGGGCACGTGCGCGGCGTCGAGGGCGACGGAGCGGACGGAAGGCGGTGGCGTGGTGACGCGTTACAAATGGATAGGACGATAGGCGGAAGCGGAGGCGACGGCAGTTATTGGACGCCTACCGCAGAGATACGCGCGCACAAACTCGATATGAGAGAAAGTAACTATCAGAGTATGATCATCCCTACAAGTCGATGCAATGTTACTAATTATCGGTGCTTTATTAACGCCTTAGAATCTCTTAAACCCACACACAAGCTCATCGAAAACAACTAGGACGGTTTCTAACTCATTTGCGGCTGTCTTTCTCTCAGGTCATTGCGTCTCCTCACCTCCAAAATGGAGCTGGTCTGCTTCTCGACGGTGAGCTCCATTTCAGCGCCGTCCAGACACACAGACACCATGCGCCACTCTTCGTCGTAGTCTGAAATAGACCCGGACGCCGTCAGCTTGCAGGACAATGCTAGCATCCATCACTCTTCCAGGAGTCCGGCCGTGGGCTGTGCCGACCGGTTCGCGCTCACAGCTCGGCAAAACATGCGACAGTACCGCTCTGATCACAGGCCAACTGTTACGCCTCGGTCGGCTAACACTATTTCATCTTTTTCCAGCAAACGCGGCGTTATGTTTGGCGCTGCGGGGCGCAAACAAAGGCGGTGAAGGCGGGGGTCGCCTCTCAGGAGCCACCATGTGAGACTGGTCAAACATCAGCTCGACTCCCGCCTCTTCCAGTGATCCTTTCCACCCGGTCACAGCCCTGAGCTCGGCCCACACCGGCCGTACTGTGCGTCGGGTTTCCGGCGCTGATCCACAGGGGACGCCGTCGCACTCCATCGGACACGCGACCGTGTCAACCGATCCATTGTTCGGTTCATTATTCGGGGTGTTGGAGCTTTCCAAGAGCGTGATTTTTGTGTCCCAATCCCGTCATCAGCCTTTATTCTGACGTCCTCTCGCGCCAAAAGGACTTCGGCGTTGAGTCTGGGGCGTCGGAAACCCCTCACAGGAAATCTGCCGTCTGATCCCTGCCATGGAAGCCGCACACGCCGCTTCTGGTCGGCTCGGGGCGCTCACCTAAGGTCAGTTCGTAGGCGTTGGTGTACTCGGAAGTCTGGAACTGGCGGCGCAGGGCCGTCTTGCCGACGCCCCGGCGCCCAGCAGCAGGACGCGCCGCGCCTCGCTGGCGCCGTCCCGCAGCGGGTCCGGCATGCTGGGCAGCGTCACGGACCGCTGCAGCAGGCTCAGCTCCTCCGCCCGTCTGCCGAGGGGAGAGAGAGCGGGTCAGCACCACGGACTCGGCGAACGATAACCGGCCGTCACACGGGGAGGAGATACGGACGGAAAAGGCGTGGACCTCGTCCACGGTTGGTGTTTGATGGTTCACGCGCTACGCGTTCGCGTGACTGGGACAACGATGTGATCGTCAAAAAAGAGGTGCCACCAGACCCCAGGTACGTGCGCACACTGAGACGCTGCCGTCGGTCCCCAGAGACGGTCTCAAGTCCCCGGAGGCGGTCACGTCCCACCCAGGCTGCCTGAGCGTGGTGGGCGGCTAAATATAGCCGAGTGCGGCGGGCGGACGGGGCGTCGAGCGGGCTCATATGTGGCCATTGACGGCTAGGGTTGGCTGGCGCTGGCACTCCCGGGGCCCCCGGCACTCTGAGGACTTTGATCAAATTTGGAGTGGACTGCCAGTAAGAAGGCATCTTGCCTCGTGATATACCATAAATACATCACCTACGTCGCTGGGAGGGAGGCAATAACGCATCTAACGACTGCAGAGGGGATGGAGTCTCTCCGATATAATTGGATCACTGAGCTGTCCCGTCTCTCCCGATAATAGCATCGCCGTCTTCGACCGGTAACCAGCGCACCGCCTCCCTCGCGTCGTCGCGCCCGATCGCAGGCGCGGCACCTTCGGCGCCGCCGTGTGAGTGGCGGCGAGCGCCGTCTCCGACGGCGGGCGCTGCGCCGCGCCGCGACAAGCCCCGCACAGCCTGATCGGCCGGCCGCACAATGCGCCCGCGTGCACAGGTGTTGCCCGCGTCGCAGGTGGCGTTGTGGCCACCTGGGCGGCGTCTCCGGCGACGGCTCGGGCGACGGCTCGGGACCGGTGCCGGCGCCGGCCCCGGCCGCCCCGCCACCGCACCGCCCCGCCGCCGCCGGCTGGGGACGACGCGGCGCCGGCGCTTCGGCTGCTGTTGGTGCCGGCGGCGGTGTCGGCGTCTCGGCTCTGCACGCTGTAGCAGCGCTGCCGGCTCTCGCGCGTGGGCCGGTCTGACGGCGCTGACCTTTAACCGGCGGGGAATGTGCCGGCACCGTCACCGCCGGCCGAAGGCTGCAGGGGCCCCGGAAAGAGACCCGCGGACGTCACCGCCCGGCAACTCAGACCCGGCCGCTGGGCGGTGATCGCAGAAGGGACGTGGGAACTAGAGGCGGGGTGGGGGGGGGGGGGGGGGCAGGAGGGAAGAGTGTCATTCTGCACCTCCCTGAGAACCTAACATTTGTTCCCTGAACGTTGACCATAACGATACAATCAAAATACAGCAAAATAGTCCGAATGAATAAATGAAAAAAATGGATAACCAAAATAGCCCAAAATGGCTATCGCCCTCCCCAGCCCCGTTGAGCCTGGCAGCATTTGTATTAGCCCTGACAGGAGGGTGGCGGACCCACGACATGACGTCACATCGGTCACAGCACGGCCGGCTAATCTCGGAGACGTGCTCACGTCACGTGGAGGCTCACCAGGCGACGAACGCCGGCGCAACTGCGCAGCCAACAAACCGGACGCCACGCTGGAGCAACGCTCCGCCCGCACCGTCCTCCACAATGCGCCCTGTCCCGTGCCCAGCGACCTCGTCCCAGCCGGCTGCCGTGCCTCGTGCGATGTGTTATCGCCGCTGTGACGTACTTTGCGGCAGAATCCGGATGCTAAGCCAGCGAGCAGCAAGGGCTCCGTCCGCCGCGGCTCGGCTTTGGTCGCCGCGGCTCGGCTTTGTCCGCATCGTGGCGGAAAGATCGCCAGGCCGACCGACTAAGTACGGCTTATCTTGTTTTCGTTTTCCCCGCGCAGATCTAAGTCCGCTTGAGGAGCCGAGGGCCCCGGCTCTGTCACGCAGCCTCTGACGTACATGGACCATATCTTGGTCAGGAATGGAGTTGTGGAGGCCGAGCTTGATGGTGTCTCGGCGTGCAGGGACGAGTGAAGGTTTCGGTGCTCACGTCGCCACAAGTCCATATACGGCACATTCCGATCAGCTCTGACGCAGTAAGCCGGTAATTCACTGCACGAGACTTCTCACGGCGTAGTAAGCATATAGTAGTAAGGCGAATGTAGCGCATACTTGGCAGGCATAGCCATTGTAAGTAGAGGCTATGCTAAATAAATAATGATAGGGGTAAGTCATTGTTCGGTGGCCACTTAAACTGAAATCACTTTTTCGCAGCGCGACACCATGTCGATTGCCATACCCCACCATGTAAGACACTGTGGACCACATGTCTGCATGGGCAGATATGCGTGGGTCATCCATGTTTATGAACATGGTCAGGAACATGAAAAGGTCAGGGTTGTGGGCGACGCGTGGGATCAACTGACCCAAATCCTGTCGGGCTCCACTTCATTGGCTTGAAAAGTTCCCACATCCGAGTATCACACAGAATGAGGGCGATGACAGCCGCAATAGTCGCAATTATGCCTGTACTTTAGCAAAGATCTGTCGATTTGAGCTGTTGCTAAGGATCAGTTACGCTTTACCAGGCCTTCGGTGGTCAGCTCTCACAAGACTCGTTTCTCTAGGGTATAATCGCCCTCAGCGATCAGTTGCGGCACCTGGATCCTGGTTAAGGTCAAGGTGTCTCAAACCTCAGAAAACCGTTCGTGGTTAACACGCGCAAACAGCTTGGTTGCGTGCTGCCGGTGTTGTAACGCTATTTCGCACTAACCTTCACCCCCAGTTCTGGCAATGGAAAATGACCACTTCCGCTGTATCCCTGGAGGCGTAACCACGTAGCCAAGTACCGGCATGGTCACGGTTCAATTAAGTCTTGGACTGCAAATGTCCTATGTAAATATGACTCATATTCAGGTGGTTTTCATCACGCAGGCTGGAAACCAACGCCTAATCGGTGAGTTTACGCTCCGCGGGCCTCCAACGCCCGACCGCTGTCACCGCGTCCCTGGCTCACCTTTCATGCATGATGGCTTGCAGCAGCTCTTCCTTGTTGAGGCTCGACTTCCGGCGGTCGCGACGGAAGCTGTCGCCGCGGTTGACGATGCCGCCGCGCTTGGTGGACTCGAAGTTGCGCAGGCGTTCGGTGCCGCTCTCGCCGTCCACCTGGCGCTCCACCTCCGTTTGCGTCACCGGGCTGAAGTGGACGAGCGAGATCTTGCGGCGGGCGGCGGCAGAGCTGCTGGGACTGCGGCACGACTGGGACCGCTTGACTTCCTGACCGGTCTCCCCACACGTCATGTTTGCTGCGGTGGCGAGCTGCTGGCGAGGCGTCTTGCACATGGGACGGCGCTGCAGCTGCGGGCACGACTCGGCGCTGGGCGAATGTCGCTCTGTGCCTGCTCACTCCACACGAGGCGCTCCGACTGGCTACTGCCCGCCGGCCAGCGTCTGCCCTCTATATAGCCTGGCGACCGCGGCGCTACTACGCCCCGCCCCCTCGGCCGGCGGCCAGCCGGCTGAGTGACGTCACTGCCAAGCTGCCAGCCGCCGACGGAGGCGCCGCGGCCGAGACGACGGGCGGGCGCTGCAGCGCGCTGGGACGCCGCGCCCATTACCAATAATTGGAATCGTCGTCGGTCGGGCCCGCCAGCCCGCGAGACGGGCAGTTTTTGGACGTCTAATGGCTTTCGTTAGCAGCCTAACGAGATCTCCTCGATCGTGCGTATCGCTGTCCTACCACGCGTGTGTCGCGATGTTCGGTGCGCTCCGACTCGGAAGCCGCCTCAGGGAGGATCTACAGCCGTCACAGCGCTCGAACGAGCCTACGCGGGTCATGAACTGCCCAGTTGCACCCATTGGCAGACAACGAACTCTGGAGTCAGCGGAAAAGTTTCGTTTTTTTTGAAGGCAACCATCTCGAAAGGTGTGTGGGAGAAACCGTCTTTTCAGTTAATTCTTTTGGTCCATTACCATGGAGATGATGTTAAACTATTCAGGAAAGTCAGCAGGCTATGACCAGGTCTCACCTTTCTCCTTGCTACTCCCTGGTAAACGGAATGCTGAACAGCGGTAATGTCAGGTGGTACGATCTCATGAGGTACGCGTGAGTATGAGGGCCACAAAATGCGCCATGTCTGGCATAAAAAGGCCAACCATCCGGCTTAAGAACGTTTTGTTTTGACCGTATTTCGGAAAGAACGTCACCGCGGACGACGATACACAAAACAGCAATACTTCTCTCAAAGCAGGATTCCGGGTTGGTTTCTGAGAATGACCTAGTTTAATACGTCACTCTCTGATTTTGTTTACAAAGATGGTGGATTTGGTAAACATCACCAACACCATAAGCAAATCGCAGCCGTGTATCGAATGAAGTCAGCAAAATCACAGTGAGGCGCCACCTTATCGCAGATAATATGACATCATGTGGCGGCATGGGTGGAATTTTTACGAAATTTGTGCTCACACCCACGCTGCCTTACGCCATTAGATGGCACAGCCACCACCAGTGCTAGCTAAGTGACGTCTGGCCCAGGTCTGGATCATTATTGAATACCCAACGAGATGAAACATTCCTTTAAACGCATAGCGGACGGAAAAACCATCTGTATCGCGAGCCGGTATGTAGCTCCTCCTCAGCGGCGCCGTGGACAGTCACCGAGAAGAAGGAATGTGCTCAGCACACCCACGCTCCTGCTCGTGCAACTGCCTACGTGCGACATACATACAACATCAGAATCGTTCTCTTGCTGGGCACTGATATCACATACGCGTGACCAAATAATGACACGTTTTTCTGACAATTACGACCGTAGTGTAAAGTGTAACGAAGCGATAGGATCATCGTTATTTAACAAGTATCTTTGCCCAGACATGTAAAAATAAATAATTCAAGATATGTCGCTCGCCCGTGCTTCGATCGGTAACACTCCGATAGTATAATCACTGGCATTCCTAGGGGGAG